CTGCAGCTATACAGGCCTGACCTACTTTTAGAGCTGACTAGGAGTGAAGTGTTTTCTCCTCATCTGGGTGGGAAGGAGTGTCGGGTACTGGAGGAAGAGTCAAACATCTTCTGTTACTCACCAACATCACCTCAGGTCAGAACACACACACACACACACACACACACACACACACACACACACACACACACACACACACACACACACACCTCAGCTGGTCTGACATCACCAGGCTCTTTGAAGGGCTTCACTGTCACAACCCTTCTCGTTACTGAACTAATCATTAAGCCTGTCCATTACCCATCAGGCACCGTGCTGTGCATCACATTAACACTTTTTCTTCTCCTTTCGTTCTTTTCTCTTCTCTCCAGCTGGCCGCTAAAGAGCTTTTTCCACTAAATAAGAATTGTGATAATTAATGGCACAACATGTTTCTCATTTAAAATCTAATCTAAAGGAGGTGGACACAAATTATCCAGCCTAATTGAAAAGCTAAAAGCAATAAAACAGCTCTCGGCAACCTTAATGTGATTCTTGAATGGGTGGCGAATGAAGTAAGGGGCTCAGAGTTTAATAATAACAGTGCTGGTGATGGGGCTTCAGTTACCTTCCTCTCTGTGCTGTCTGTACAGAGTTCCTAAATCACCATCTGTGGACACACAGAGCAGCATTAGAGGGAGAATTGTGCTGTAGTGCCGGAACATTTATCAGTGTTTTTAATCACAATACTAAGAAAACAAGTGCAGGAAATTGAAGTGATCACTGAGGGATTGCAGTTGAAGCATTTAAAATTAATTTAAATGTTGAAGTGGCAGTTGAAATACAAAGAAAGCAAAATGATTAAGCAGTAGTTAAAATAAAAGTGCTGACGTGTTGAAGTCTCTGAAATCTTGTAATTACAGAAATGAGTGAAAAGTATCAGTTGACATTCAAGCACTTAAAGAGTAGAAATCGTCAGAGGTGTAGCTGTCAGTTTCATAGTGAATGCTGACAGCAGTAGTGGTTGAAATGTAAAATAAAGAGTCATACAGGATTAAAATTGAAATACCATTTGAAAAGTAACTGCTGAAATTTGAGCCGGTAAGACATAAAAGCAGTGGAACTGTGAGATGACGTGTAATCACTAAAAGCTGCTCAAATATCTGATCAAGACGTGAAGATGATGAAGGAAGGTGAAATGTCAGCTGATCTGAAAGCAAAAACGACTATTTCTTAATCCCAACACTATTTCCACCGTTCCATAGATAAACTTCCATACTTAACAGATCCATCTACCCATTACACGATGGAGCATTGGTTCCAAATTAACCCTTTGTATGCAGTATGTGGACGCTGTGTTGGGATTGTTTCATTAATGATTTTACATGTTCCTTCTGTTCTTTAGGCCTGTTGAGAAAAAGCATGTGTGTAGCGACTGCTTTTGACGTTGCATTTTTTTAAAATAAGCTATTCTTCAATATAATGAGTCAACACATAACAGAACAGAACTGAGCACTGATGGTGTTAAACTGAATTTCGCTTGAACAGATCAGCAGAGCTTCATATCATTGCCAAATCTCCAGGCAGACATTCTGAACTCCTGCAGAGACCTGGACGCAGCGGACCCTCACCATTCTGCACCTCCACAACTTCCCTGAGATCCAGAAAATGTGTTTCATACAGCCGGCCTTTCTCAGACAGTGCGAAGAAAGATAAATCTAAGGACTAATTATCGCTGCCCTCGTCGGATTTGATGGACCTGCCAGACATCTCCTGATTGGTCCTCTCACCGGTAGAGAAGACCGGGATTAGTGAGGACAGCGAGGGGGGGGGCAACCCCTGTGGTGAGCCAGTCAGACGTCCAACCCTGCTGACAAGAGAACCGATAGGCCTCTTTATCAGGATGCAGATGGAAATGCATGCTGAGGGCTCAGTTGTGCTGTGTAGCTACCTATTATGCTCATCTTTTGTTGAAAGATGGCACTGCTGGGGAGAGTGAAGGGGGATTTCAACTTCTCTAAGGCAGCCTCAGAGAACAGTGTGATCTTACACTCACTCCAGCGAGAGAGTTTAATGCTAGAGGCCTTCAAAGGTCTAAAATACTACCTGTGACTTTTTATACAGTTCTGGGTCAGAGTGGAGCTGACAGCCACTGGAGCTGAGCCCGGTCAGACACACAGGAAAGGAATTCAGCATTTCACAACTCAACTGGATTTTTCTTTTTTTCTTTTTGAAGAGTGGAATGTTAGGCAATCCGCACCAACATGTTGGTGGAGAGTTACTTTCAAGATCACACATTTTTATCCTGTTATGTTCTGGGCCCAATTCTATTTTTTTTTTTAAATAAGAACTATTCCTGCTTAAGGAAACTTAATTACAATGTGGGTCTAATCTTAATGACTTTAGGTGTCTTACCAAGTCATACAGTATGTTAGTATGTCTCAGAATCACAAAAAAATAATCCTTTGTAAATTGTATATACATTGGAATAATGTACACCATAAAACTTTAAATAGGGGTTACATTATCAGTTATTCTGCAGTCCAACATCTTAAAACCTCTTAAGCCCCAAGCCTGTTTTTCAGGTTTCAGGCTCGAAAATGACATTCCCAGAACAAATGACCATATCTTCCCTTCTAAAAAAAGGAGGGTCGCGTCGCGGGGAGGTCTAGACCGCGGGATCCGCTGGCCGAATCTAAACGGTCACGTATCCTGGCGGGACTAATTTTCATGTGTTTGTGTGTGTGCATATGTGTGTGTGTGAGGCGCTCGAAGGGGGTCTGGTCATTAGGGTTTGTTTTGATAGAGGGAGGCATCATTGAGACTAGTAACGAGGCGATTATTAGTTAGTCTAGCTCCTAAAAAAGGTCTCTTCTCTTTTGAAACTTCCGGAAAAAGGTTTTACTACTGAGGACCTGTCAGTAATATTATTACCCTGTATAAAAACGAATTATAAACCTCATGTGTTGTTAGGACTATAGTAATCTTCTCGATCCTTAGAGGAGAAGGTTTGTTACATATAGTGTGTTTTTAACAGAAGACCAGTTACGCTGACTAAAAGCTACCTCGTCCATGTATACCCACGAAAAATAATTTTGTAAAAAACTAATTGAAAAACCAAGTGTAAAGTTAGTTAAATTAAAGATAAACGTGGGAAAACGGTAATAAGAATGACTTTTACAATCTAATATGTAAGTGTAGACTCGACTTCTACACGGGGTAATACAGAAATGCAATTTCCAGAGGATAGTACGGGATTTACGGTGAAAAAACTACAGAAAAATATGTGATTTATACACCGGGGGTCACACAGTCCTCTGAGTGTTTGAAGTCTTTTGCATACAATTAAAAAATTAAAAAAAAAAAATTCGATGCTTGGTCTAGTCGGTGAAAAGAGATTGTCGCCGACTTTATCTCCCCCTACTCCGGATCTTATCCGACTAAACCTAACCCATAAAACGTCGTTTTGTGAAGTATCTGTACAAAAATATAAAAAATCATATATAATACCTGGGGAGTCACGTATCCGGACCTTCGGTTCAAAGTCCTCTGAGGACTCGGAATACAACTTCCCAGGAGTAACTCACGCCTTCGGGATTGATTAAACGATAAGAATTTGAAATAGGATTACGAAACGACCAGTCTATAGCGCGATTATAACTAAAAGTTATACTAAAACAAGTGAAGGGACTATATATCGGAAGTTGTCACCTATGAGCGGATGAAATGTAAATACTTCTTTACGAATTATTGGAGAATCCGGGTGCGCTGGCGCAAGGCCGCTTTAGCGCAGTTAAACGTCCTCTGTTGCAGTTTCCTTGGAATTATAAATTATTGGTACTTCAGTAAAATATAGGTATATTACCCTTTTTTGAGTAAATTGACTAGAAAAAAGTAAAAAAAGGTTTTTTTTGTGTTTACGGATTGTCACTCGGAGACTTAATCGGCGGCTCGTTTTCTACGGGATTGGATAATGCCGTGGCTTTTAGTGAGGATCGAGGGAATAATGAATAGAGTACGGCGCTGTCTAGGTTAATGTGTGAAGGCAAATACTCAGCATTTCTGTGGTCTTAGATTGCACGGGTGGAGTTGTGACCTTTCTATGTGTTTGAGCGCCTGCAATAGTTGTCGTTTGTGCATGTAAGTTTTGTTCGCCGCGATCCATCCGGTGTCTGCATTGTACCGAATGTAAGCAGAAACCAGACCAGATTTGACCAGGAAGTTACCGTAATTTTGTTTTTGTTCGCTACTACATCAATTAGGTATCCAATTATAGGTTACACCGACACAGGGGAAACTTTACAAGGACTATTAGATATTCGTGTTATTTTGACGTTAAGGCAAAATTTTTTCATCTCGGTCCGGAAAGATCCGAGACACTCGAAGTAACTTACGCGCTTCTGCGGTAGAAAAAAAAAATTGTACTCACACACGCCCTGCTAAAGGGAAAGCTAAGATAACCCGAGATAGTCTTTTCTCCACAGTGTACAGTTTTAGCTTGTCTTCCCCCGGTCTCTATACCTTTTAGGTGGGTTTACCGGGGTCTTCTCCAAAAGAAACCGATGTTTACACCAGTTTTTTCCGGTTTATAGTGAACAAGACGTAAGTTAGAGAAGCTATGTCCCATGAAAATAATATACAACGATGAAACCTAAGATTTCGAAAATTCAGATTGGATTGGGTAGTAGGTTCCAATTCAAAAGGTGATATTCATTCTATGTGTAAAAACCTGGCCTGTGATATTAAATGTCAAAAATTGTACAAGTTAGACTTAAAAGAAATTTTATTTTTGTAGATATAACTAAGACTGAAAAGATGTAGGTGAGTGTCCAACATAGTAATATGAAACCTCTTTTTTCTAATAATTNATATACTTATTGAAAACAAGCTACTAAATGTAATACCTTGGAAAATGCCGTTTAATACTTTTTAATAGCCTTAATTTTCGCTAAATTGATTTATCAACTTTTAATACTTTTTAAGACCCCGCAGACACCCTGTTTTACTGCTCCTGGCTAGTCCTAACTGGGTGTGAAACACTGCATAAAATCAGGCAACATTTAAAAGCATCTTCACTTTATTATAGCCAATTAAAATGCAGCTTCTTGTTTGGGGTCTTTAATTCTCACCAGGAGGGTCAGCAGGACAGCTGGGTGTTTCTCCATCAGAGTCAGAAGCTCCCGTGTTTCTGTGTCCGGCTCCTTATATTCCTCCGCACCGCTTTCTCTCTGCTCTCCTGTCTCCTGTACCAAGAAATGAAAGCCGACCAGCTTTTCATTACAATTAATTCGCGAGAAGTTAAAGAGAATGATTAAAAAAAACCTTTAGTGCATTTCTAACACTTACTGTTAGTGAAATAATTAGTGAAACTTGTTGATGTGTTTTTAATCAAAGCACTACAATTATTTATTGATGAATACTTGAAAGCAGTTAAACTATTTGCCCCCCTTACCATGCTCTGCTCTGCATCTGTGTGCTGAGTCTGCTTGGTCAACCAAAGCTCCAGGACCAGCGACCCGAATTTCTCCACTAGATCGGGATATCGATAGATGAAGTGGAGGAGAGCAGGGTGGTGGATGTAGAGGGACGAGAAGCTTTGGGAGGAGAGCGCCTTGCTGATGCAGCTCAAAGGAGCCTTCGGTGTTGGTAAAAAATATTGAAACATACTTTACTTATGATAAGCACACAAACAATCAAATTGTCATATATGGAGCTACCAGCTTCATTCTAGGGTTGCAAAAATTCTGGGAATTTTCAAAGATTGAAACTTTCCACGGGAATTTATGGGAATAAACGGGAATTTTCAAAGTTGAAGGTTGGCTCTTCATAGGGAACAAATATGGTTGGGGAAATTATATTTTAGCATAATCTTGACTAAAACAAAAAGAAGCCATTCAAGTACACTTGAATATCCATGCCATAGCACACTGCTTACTGCATGGCTATTGAGACCACACCGCCTACAGGCACTGTGCATTCCTCCATCACATGCACAGATGATTTCTAGAAGTAATATTTAACTCAACATTTATGTTTTTGTTCTTCAATTAAACAAATGATTGTTCAATCAAAGAATGTAAACTTGTTCTGTTCTACTTACAAATAAATCGGTTGAAATGTTATGTTTTTTTAATTGTATCATTTTGCATGGATGTTTTCTTATGACAAAACAAAATGTTTATATTTATACTTGGATATGACACAATTCGATTACATTTACTTCAATTCCCAGTTAGTTCCCATAAATTCCAATTAATTCCCATGGAAAGTATCGAATATGGAATATTTCCAAAATTCCCCAGCTTGACTTCCCAACTTAACTGAAACTTACCGAAAGTTTACCGAAAATGTTCCGCCCCTTTGCAACCCTACAAGTCTCCTTGCTTTAATGTTCAACAAGCTCTTTATTGTGCTCATACTGCCTGTGCTGCAGCACCTCTTTTCACCCTCTTTCTGAAACCAGAGCCTAGTCTGCTCTGATTGGTTAGCTGGCCGGCTCTGTTGTGATTGGTCAACTGCTTAGAGATGTCCCGCCCCTTAGCCTATCACGTGCAATGTGTTGGAGCGCTGGCCAATATTAGCGTGAGTGTTACTTAGTGATGTCCCCATATGGAAGTAAACAAAGGAGTCCAGTGGAGGCGTCTCAAGTGTGCAATAATATAATATGATGCTTTTTGAAGGAAACAGAAGAACATTATTTTGAGGAAATACTATTTGTTGCATTTTAAGATGAATAAAAGCTGTCCACCACCAGAGCTCCAGCTGCAGTGCATGCTGTTCTTTCTTTGTGAACAGGAAAACAACACTTGGAACTCCTTCATCTTAAGGAAATCTTGACACTTTAATGTTGTACCGCTTGAATCTCGCTGAATATGCCTCGAGGCGGACCACCTGCCTCTGCTGTCAGTGTGTGTTGTGGTGAGATTTAAAGAGATAAAAGGTACAACAAATATACAAAATGGTCATTACTGAAAAGCATAAAACACAGTTAGAGGAGGAAGAAGTACTTAGATCTTTAGTCAAAGTTCTGCACTTGAAGTATTTTAAGTACAAAAGTATCAAAATATACTTTAGTACCAAAAGTAAAAGTACTTTTTATGCATGGCCCATTTTAGAATCTTGAATATAAAATGATTGGATTATGATTATCGGTGCATTAATGTGTTCATTACAGCTTGTAAAGGTGGAGCTAATTTGAATGACTTTATATTCAGCTTCTAAATATCTGACCCTATAATTATATGTCACTATAGAGTGCCACAGTGACGAGTCCTAAAACCCGGAAGTAAGTTAGCATTTGACCAATTCCGGTTCCTTCGACAAAAACCAATGCAATTTCTCCATAGGATTTTGGAAAATAGCTGGAAATAAGGTCTGTGGTTGAGACACATTGAAGAGACGGATCACGTTTTGTTCTACGACATTAAACACATCAGCAGTGACCCCAAGAATGTACGTGTCGGAAAAACGATGTTTGTTACCAAGTGGCTGAATAGGACTACAGAAGTTGTGGAGGCCGTTTTACGCCATTACACCGAACACGTAAACACTCCTCTAAGTTTGTTTGCCCTGTTCTGCTTGAAAGCAAGTACCTGCCTTAGGGCTGCTCGATTATGGCATAAAATCATAATCTCGATTATTTTGGTCTATAATTGATATCACGATTATTAAAAACGATTTTCCATTTACTTTGAAAACATCAATTTATTGGAGAAAAAAAATGTGAACAGTATGTTTTTAACAGCTGATTAACCTGAACTTTAAGTATAATTCAACTGGAAAAAAAAAAAAAAGTAATGATAATAATGAAAAAATAATCGTTTTATTTCGATTACGTTGTTTTCGATTAAAATACGATTTAATTGAGCAGCCCTAACCTGCCTCCTGCAAACTGTTAAAACAAACGCTTCAACTTGTTCCATTTTGAATATGGATCTTAAGTTGACGTGACGTTGAAGCCTGNAAAATCATAATCTCGATTATTTTGGTCTATAATTGATATCACGATTATTAAAAACGATTTTCCATTTACTTTGAAAACATCAATTTATTGGAGAAAAAAAATGTGAACAGTATGTTTTTAACAGTTGATTAACCTGAACTTTAAGTATAATTCAACTGAAAAAAAAAAAAAAGTAATGATAATAATGAAAAAATAATCGTTTTATTTCGATTACGTTATTTTCGTAATCGTTGCAAGCCATAATCGTAATTGCGATTAAAATACGATTAATTGAGCAGCCCTAACCTGCCTCCTGCAAACTGTTAAAACAAACGCTTCAACTTGTACCATTTTGAATATGGATCTTAAGTTGACGTGACGTTGAAGCCTGCTGTAGTTCCTTTATAGCATAACGTTAGCATTTTGCTTCTGGCGACTAGATTTATGATTCGAAAATTATAAAAGTAGACATGTGGAGATTATCCAGCTGAACAAAACGTGTATTTATCAAAGAGGTTCGTTTTCCACAAACCTTATTTTTTACAATATTCCAAAAGCCTATGGAGAAATCCCGTTGCTTTTTTGTCGAGGGAACCCATGCAGCTTACTTCCAGGCAAATACGTCATCACTGCACCACTCTATAAAAGGTACTCCTGCTCTTTGAATTTCAAGGTAACATATCATCCGCACTAATCTCCTGCTGAGCTTCTTCTGCACCTTAAACGCCCCGATCACCAGAATTATAAGTTCTGCAGCAAAATGTGTTCATTTTAATGCAATAACAGCGATCAGTGGGGATAAACAAACACGCTCAAATCTTTATTTCAATGTTGAGATATGTGCCATTGATCAAAACAAGTTGTCGACAGGGTTCTGAGTTTTGAGTGGACGGAGAAGGAGAAAGACCAAAAAGGAGGACATTTTTGTAGCTTCAAAATGTGGTACATTTATTCAAGTACTGTAATTAATTGTTTGGGTACTTGTACTGTTCTTTAGTATTCTACTGATTGATACTCCACTACACTCATCATCAGATAAATGTGCATATCGACATAATAAGGACAATACTCAACTTATACATTATATTGTATAAGTATACCGGGTTCCTGTGAATCCTTAAGAAGTCTTAAAAAAAAAGGTACGAAACTAATTTATCTCAAAATAAGTCCTTAATTGATATCAAAATGTCTTAATCAAAGTCTTAAAGTTAGACAGGGTATGTCAAACAAGTGGTAATATATATTTAAAGAGAAATGCCTTTTGTCCGGCAGGGAGAAGAAGATCGGTCTTAACATTATTCTGAGTGGCATTAAAAAGTTTTTCTTTCAGCACCGGTTGTGTTTCAGCATCCATTTTGATCAAACCTCTTCTCTCCTAAGCGTGGTTTTTAGACGGGTATTAGAGAGGAACAAGTTATTGTCTGTCAGCGAGCTTGTTAGGGTGCAGAGCTTCTTTTTTCCTGCCTTCAGGGACGCTTTAAAAAGGAAAACATGTGCAATCCTGGGAACAAAATGTAAAAGCATTAAACTGAAAACGTATTGCACAGATGTCTCTAAAGTCCCTTAGCTAACACTGCTGCTCCTTCATCACTAAGTGTCTCCGTGTAACTAATCACAGTATGTAGTGAATGTGCAAAGGAAAAACAAAGCTAGTATAAGCTTCTGTATTTTAGTGATGTGTTTCTGTTTTAGGCCAGTTGGTTTTCAACTCTTACTTATTTTTATTTCTTATTCTTAACTTTGTTTTATTATTTTTCGCTCTTTTTTCCTTTTTTTTATTTTTAAATTGTTTCGTTTTTCTCATTATCTTATTCAAGTTTTCTTATTTTCTTGTTTTTCTTTGTTATTCTTTTATTTCTTTTATTTCTTTTTTATTTTTATTTTTCTTTGTTTTTCTATTTTCCTTAATTTCCCACACACATATTTTCTCTCTTATTTGTATCCAATTTGATTGGAGCTGTAATATCCCAACGTGATCACATGTCTCACTGTATTTAATATTGTTTCAGGATGTACTGTATTGTCTCCCTGTTATAATGATACCATGTAAAAAGCATATAAGTACATCAGGTTTCATAGAGCCAAAACATTTAAAGTGATACTCAACAGGCTTTAGATAAGCCAGTCCTTTATTAGTATATAAGTGCTTAGTTAATATGAGTACTTTGTTAGTATCTAAGTGTGTTTTTTTTCTTTCGTTTTTTCATTTCATTGCTCGAAGTGGAGTCGAAAGAGATGAGTTTTCAGTCTGCGCCGGAAGATGTTAAATGAAAGAAACTCTAATAATGTGTTTTAAACATTGATTTATTTGGTCTTTCTGTGATGATATTTGGTGTAAAAACAGACTGTTGAAACTCCACTGCTCTTATACTGGTTTGAAGATCATTTAATTCAGTGTCTGTTTAATATTTTAATAACGTCAATTACCATATTTTCTCACTAGGGCACCGTTTGGCATTGTGTGGTTTCATACTAACATGATATTAGCTAACTAAAATGATTGTGTTTATTCTTATGACTTTATTAGGTCTTTAACATCAAATATTAGATTGATCTTTTTAAAGAAAATCATGTATGAACTGTCTACCGGGCCATTTTCGTTCCTACCCTCACCTATGGTCATGAAGGATGGGTCATGACCGAAAGAACGAGATCGCGGATACAACCGGCCGAGATGGGTTTTCTCCGCAGGGTGGCTGGCGTCTCCCTTAGGGATAAGGTGAGAAGTTCAGTCACCCGGGAGGGACTCGGAGTTGAACCGCTCCTCCTT